ACTCTTAACCTGCACCCTAGACTAGGCCAGGCCACATCAAGGAAACCAATCAGGCCCTTAGGGTTTAGGGGTTATCAGTTCAGGCTCTTCCAGTGAGTTATCGAGCTTAGAGGGAGCGCTCATGGTTGAAGGAGGTAGGGGTGTTACGGTGATGGTCTTGGTAGAGACTAGTTGTTATTGTTACAAGAGCCGATACCAACAGTGATGAGTCAACGAAGACAGAGGAGGGAATCAGGTAAGAGCAAGAAGAGTAGAGGACAGGTGGCTCAAGATTGCGAGTTAGGGTGGAAATGGATGAAGTAAACCGTGTGGTGTTCCTTGTTGGGTTGAAATAAAGTTAAATTGAAGGAAGAGATATGACAAGAACTGGAAAATCGACATGATGCCCATCTCAAGGTACGATTCGAATGAGTGCGACGAACTAATTAGACCAAAGTGAAATCTCTCTAAGATCATGTCTCTAACTTAGCACAAAACGGATGCTTCTTGTAGTTTCTGTTAATAATTTTGCAAGCACTAGACAACATAACCTTCAAGAGATATGCGTAAGATGATTTTCTCAATCTATAAGAATTTGCCGTACTAGTCTATCAACTTGTTTGCATCTACGCAAGTGTCTGCAGAGTAGGGAGTTTTGAAAAAAAAATGAAAATCATAACAGTTGAATTTTCAACTCAGAACTGGCCATCATTAAGGAGTCACAGTGGGCCGTTTCCTATCGGGCCTTAACTACAAGTCTGAAGAGTTGGGCCGCGGTGGTGCCACCTTGCAACAACTGTGTCCATCCATCCCAGCGGCTCGGCCCATCTTTTACTTGACGAAATCTGCACCATGCTCCCCGGCACCAGATTTAGCCACGTCAGCAAGAAAACCATGGTAGCTCATTGGGCCACGTCTCCTCATTTTTCTCCACCGTCGGATTTGATCGGGCCGTCGAAACCATCGTCCCCAGTGCCTTCTCGACTCCTGTGTTGCCGTTCTGCTGCTGCCGCCTCCCTCCGCCCTTGCTCCGTCTCGTGCCATCCTCCGCCGCCCCCGGACCTCCCTCCTCATCCCGGCACAGGTGGGGAGGCCAGTGGCCCCAGCGCGGGCGGGGTGCGGGTGCCGCGGGCGCGTTGTTCCCGGGCATCCCGGTGTGGGTGAGAGCCCCAGCAGCCCCGGTGCGGCCGGCACACGTGCGGGCCGGCGCGGCCGGCGGTGCGGGCACGGCGGTTTCAGCCACCCCGGAGAGAGCGGCGGACGCAGGCACGGCGGCTGAGGCCACTCTGGCGCGGGCGTAAAGCTAGAGCGCTGCAGCCCAGCGGTGGACCCTTCCCACGTCGACCCAGACGCGGTGTCCCTCGCAATGAAGGTCTCGATCGTTCCATATTCCCGTCGCATCTCTCCCCCAGTGTCGCTGCACCTACACTATGCGCTCGGTCTCCGCCCATGTCCTCTGACATCGCTGCTATTCCATCTAGCTAAGCTCTCTCATCTCTATATATGTCAACTATCATAGCAGAGGAGGGCATGCAGGCAAGGTGCATGACGAAATGTCACTGCAGGTTGCAGCAGCGGACTGTTACACTAAGGGGGGCCTCAAGGTTGCTGCTACGAGGAAGAAGATTAAATTGGAACAAAACACTATGTCTTGAGCATTAATCTACTGGCTTTCTCCTTCAATTCATTATGACAGTAAGCACCCAGGTTTGCATCCTTATATTGCTTCAAAAATCTTCACAAAGAAATTAATGGCTTGATATACCTAAGTACTTGTTTTCATAAGTGAATCATGTCTTGTTGCTAATATGTTGCATTTTAGCTTCATAGATAGATTAAGTTCTATTATGCCATCTGCCCATCCCATAGCCATATGCTAATGGAAATTTCTTTGACACTTTACTGATCTTAATATAGAGGAGGCACCATGTGAATGCCCATCAAGATTCCTCTGTTAATCCTGTCAGATTTCAAGCAGAAGCCCTCACCACAGGAGTTGATTGCAAAGGACTTTCATGGCAATCAATGGAAATTCCACCATAACTTTTGGAGTAAGTACTTTTTTTCAGTTGATTTTGTTGGTCTGTAATATTATAATTTTTTTCCCATAAATGCGTAGCCTACATTCGGACTTGTATCACACAACTCATGAAAGTAGCCTTATATATAAGTCTGACAATAGTAACTTAGAATTAACTTATCTGCACATCAACCAAAGCACCATCTTTGCTAGAGACCCTGCACTTTTTATCTGGTATGACATTCTTTCAGTATTTCAGAGCTGTGACTAGGGATGAAAACGGATCGGATATGGACGGATATCACTAGTATTACATTTGTTTTCATATTTCTGTCCGGATTCGGATTCGAATACGGATAGTGTCAACCATGCCGGATAGGATACAATTGGATATTGACATCATAAATATGCGATTTGAGTATTCGGATATGGATACGGTGTCGGATGTTGAATATCCGGACTCGAATACGGACGGATCAAAACCCTCTAAACGGATTCGGTCTCGAATATGGTCGGAAAATATCCGTACCATTTTCACCCCTGTGACTCATTTTTTACTTTCTTTTAAAAATTGTATTTGTATATGTGTATGGCCAAATATATAGATGCCCTAGGAATCCAGCTTCATATATGCAAAAAGAGGGTATATCAGTTTTAACAATTATGTGTACCACTAATTTGCATAGTATAAATTCTGCCGCTTAGTTAGAACTAAGAATTCAATTTGATAGGGCATAATTTTTCATATACTGAATTATTTTATCAATTGGATTTTTGCATTGCTTTCTTATCTCTCTTTCCTGTGCTTTTTGGTCTTTATTTTTTAAACTCTTTTTATGTGTTCTTTGCAGGTCAATGATTTCATGCTGATATAAAATAGAGGAAACAATATGGAACACATTTTTTTCATGAAGGGACCTCCAAATAGGCTGCAGTCAAACTTAACTAAAGATTTGGGTCTCAAATTTAACAATTGGATAAAGAATAAACTATGCTCTGGCCAAAACCAGAGTATGATTAGTTTATACTAATGCTGGTCAACCTGGCTCACTCTCAAAAGAGACCCCCTCTTGAATGACACGCACAAGCACCTCACACGCTTGACATATCTCATTGCCAAACACCATCTCTCCCTAAATAATATCTGCATAATGTAATAGGGTTACAATACTACAAGAGCTAGTACTTAAAAATAGGTATCTGATTAATCACTGTACGTATATAGTTCAGCATTTTTTGCCACAATGGGATGGCCAATACAAAGGACGCGCGGCAAAGCCACGCGGTCTTTTCTAGTACGAACACGAAGGCAGTTACAAAACGGGGACGTACCGCCCCCCGCCCCAACCTCCACGTCCATTTCAATTTGGCATTCTGACCCCTAGCCGTCGCCCCCGTGCGAATCCCCCAACTCTGGCCACCTCCCCGAGCACTGCTCGCCGGGAGAATCTCGCCGCCGCCATGAGCGAGACGAAGAAAAAGCAAGGAGGAAGCGACGAGGACGCCCCGCGCTGCTCCCTGCACCCTGGGTTCGTCCTCAGGCGCTGCTCCCTGTGCGGGGCGAAGGAGGAGGAGGAGGCGGAAGGAGGTGCTCCCGCAGTCGCCGGCAAGGCACAGTGGACACGGGACAATGGCGGCGAGTTTCCGGTGGCGCCGGCAGGACGAGTGGCGCCGGCAGGACGAGCTAGCGTTCCCTGTGAAATTTTCGAGTCTGCTGTAGGGACAACTAACGTCGTGCATTGCTAACCTTCGTGTCTTCCAGAACTGAATGCTTCAGATTGTTGAGGTTTGTTTCAGCTGAACAGTGTAAGGCCCTATTTGTTTTGCTGAAATTTAGTTTATGCTGATGTTTATGCTGATTTGTTGTGAGAGAAAAACATTGTTCGTTTACTAAAAAGTACTGCTGAATTAGTTCAAGCGAATTGTATTCAGTTACTTTCAGATGTGTGACCGCAGCACCGAGTTTGAAACTATGAAATCATCTCATCTTGACGCTGTGCACATTCTATTCTCTGTTACTGTTACAATGCATATAGTTTGATGATGTTCGAGTACATAACATGTGAGTATGTAACATGCCCACATATTAATTATGAGATGATGGTTGTGTATAGGCTTTGGACACTGATATATTGAAATAACCGTCTTTTTGGAATATTGCATCATTTCCAAAAGATGGTTATTTCAATCTAGTTACTAATTCATACTTGCAGGTACTTTTCAGGGAAACCTTTTGGATCAGGCAATGGCCCATGGTGTCTAAAGAGGAAGAGGGAAGAAATTTGAAAGAAGGTTGCAGGCGCTTAGAAGGCTTGACTCTGCAACTTTTTGGAACCTGTGGGTGGAAGAATTAGAAAATGATAGGACTGTAGAGTTCTTTGTGCGCTCTGCTTGAAGTTAGGATAGATTTGGTTTGGGATCAGTGGTCTTTTTGTTGGTTTGGGATCAGTGGACTTGTTTATTTATTTTGTTGCCTTCTGATGTAAGGTATCTAGTTATTGTGAATTTGAACTATCCGAATAGCGGAAAACTGGACTAAGTTCCCTTTCTTGTACTGTTAAGCTCTAAACATTTACTTGTGAATGTGAAGACTGGAATGTTTTGTTCCATAATTAAAAAAAATATTGAAAAAACCGTCGTCCATGTCCCCAAATGTGCATAACTAAAGTTGTACTAGTAGCAATATTAGATATGGGATATCTATTGCTCTATCGACTGATTTCAGCGTTGAGCGTACACTTTGATCCAATTGTGGCAATGTCAGTCAGTCACATTAATCTTAATCAGTAATTTTCAATAAAGGATCTAACAGCCTGCAATTCCGATTGAAACAAGAAAAAAATTGTCCAAAAATACTGTATACCAAGACTACAAAATTACAAAAAAAAAACAAAGCACTTTTACTACTACTAGTTTATTTTAGAAGAGTTCATTTTTGAAGTCACTAGTATTCCCTAACCACGGCGACACATAAAAAAAACCACGGCGACATACGGTACCTCTACCGAGCCCATGTACTTCCCTTTCCACCACCTCCGTTGGCCTCACACCCCAGCTCCGCGATCCGCGCCTCGTGCCGCAGCTGGTGCAGCCTCCGCTCCAGCTCGAGGGCCGACATGCCGCCATGGGGCGGGCTCTTGATCCTGTTCCCCTCATCAGCGTGCGGTCGTAGTCCTCCTCCTCCTCCTCCTCGTGGTCTTGGCTCTCGCCGCCGCTGTCTGTCTCTCCAGCAAGGAGGGCGCCCTGTTGTCAAGCGGGACAGCTCCGAAAATTCAAGCTCAGCTTCCATCCGGTCCATGTCATGGTGGGCGCCCACCGTCTTCGCTCGCCCCACGGCTCACCGGGGCGGTCGAGCCCGCGTGCTAACCGTCGGACTGGGACCTTGACGACGCTGGCGCAGTCTGTGCAATTGCCATTGCAGCTACGCACGTTCCCTGGCGTCGAGAAGCAGGCGCTCCATCTGGGCCCTCAGCTCCACCATCCTGCTCAACCGTCCTTCTCAGCTCCGTCGTGCTCTTGGACAGCAGCATCACCAGGCTGGCGCCGAGGCGCAGGCTCGCAGGCAGCGCGTCCTGCTTCTTCCCTGCACGCCATACATACAGTGGCGGACACATAATTTCAAGTTTTCAACATTGGGTGTACACGTAGAAATGAAAAAGGACTAGAAGAGCAAATTATAAAGCACCAATAATCTTTTAATGCATACAACACCTAGATGTCTTGACTAATTAAGAAACAGTTACAAATTAAATCGACAAGGAGGCCTATAGATAGGAGAGATAATGTCTTCATCTGTAAATGGTAGGAAAAAAGTCCTTCTCAGTAAATGTAGCTAAGCAATCATTCAAGTATTTGAGGGTGGAGAGATATTTTTTTTCAAGAATACGCAAGAGGCATGTGTATCTTCTTTTTATTAAGACAGGAGAAAAAGTTCATACACAGCGCGTTGTGCCATAGCACTCACTAACCCTGAGATAAATGATTTACAAACAAGGATAACAACTAAGGATCCAAGAAAACAACTAGCTCCATCTAGCGGTAAGATCCAGCATGTCTAGCTTTGTCGCTCCCGCTTGGATCCAAAGGTGAGCAACCGAGTTAATTTCGTTAAGCAGGGACGGAGGTAACGTCGTGATTGAATAGCCTCGCGTTCTGCTCGCCCCAAATGCACCAAGTGATCAATGCAAAAAGCGAGTCAAACCCTTTTCTGAGAGGCCCTGACCAATTGCTTCTCAGAAGACACCATCAGCGTGGAAGCAACTTGTGCTTACCATCAGTTTACCAGGAGCAGAGAGCGCAGCAAACCAAACTTGGGAAGTGAAGGAACAGGAGATGAAAATGTGTTCACTGGTTTCCAGCTCTTGGTCACAGATTAGGCAATTCTGGTGTGATTCCAAGCCATGGCGCATCCTCCTATCGGCGGTCCAGTGACGGCGTTTGAAAGCAAGCCACGGGAAAAGTTTCACCCGCAGAGGGCTCTAGGAGCTCCAGATCAGCTCTTGAACAATGGATTGTAACGAACCTAAGTGCAGGGCCTTGTTTGAGTAAATGGCATTGGATGCCCAGCGCTAGACCATGTGATCAGATTCCCTCTTGCAAGTGAATTTGTTCCAGGGTTTTCAAGAGTCGAAAGTAATCTACGAGTGCATCAACCAAAAGGCCTCCGGTACTGATCCTGACCCACCATCTGTTAAGCAAGGCTACCTCCACTGTCATCATCTTCTTGATCCCTGCAGATTCTTGAACAGGGAAAAACGATTCAATTCCCATTACCTGCAAAGCCTCTGCCAGTCTAATACATTATACATCCCCAAAATGAAGTGGACAGTTTCCTAGCTTGATAGATTAACTGCGCTGAAAATACATTTGAAGATTTATAGCGAACGAACCAAAATACTGGGGTCACAAGCCACTGAGCTGAGTGCCACCAAATGCTAATGCAACCTATAGTTGAAAGAATACCTCAGACCTAACAAATTACAGAGGCAATAGCCACCATCCGGGCATCCGGCACTACAGTTTTCTGAGAATGAACTAAAAACAATCCGCACTGTAATTCCCCACACGCTTACGAACAGCAAAACAGATATAAAAAAGGCCAGTCACTTCTGAGCAGCAACCAAAACTAGCGAGTGGCCAGTTCAAGCGATCACAAGGGCAACGCTGGAGCATGAGGAGCGCACCTCGGGTCGAGGCGGGGAAGCAGTGTGACGGGGCAGCCGGAGAAGGTGTCGATGTCGACGGGGTACCGCATCCACGGCAGGTGAGGCACGCGGTCCGCGGGCCCCTCTTCCTCGTCCTTCCTCACCATGGCCACCATCAGCTACTGAACCCACCTCAGGCAACTATGACAAATTCGAGGAGTCGTCGAAGCCGGAGAGGACAGGTGAGAGGCGGGGCAGGGAGGTGGCTGCGAGTCTGCGACGGCGACGAGTCGTTTGCTGGAGCTGCGAACTGGTGGCGGCGTTGCGGCAAACTAGGGCGCCGAACGGATAGTAGTGGGCCGCTGGGCTGCTTTGAATTGGGTCTCAACCGTTCCAACGCCTCCACGCGCGATGGCATGGCAGATTGGCAGTTACAAAACCAGGCACGGCCGGCCTCAAGTTCCCCCGACCCCGCACCCATTTCATTTGCCACCGCCCAGCGCTCACCGACCACCGAGTTCACGGACTCGTTACCTCGAGCCTACGCTCTTATAGGTTCCAGATTCAGCGAAGCTACAGTATATAAGGCTACGGGCCTTTCCAACCCAAAACATTAACACGATAGGTGAAGTTCTTCCATCTTATATATTATGCTCCTTCATCATCGCTACACGATGTAGAACTAAATCCTAGCAATCTCTCCTGTCATATCGGTAACCCCGCTATATATATATCTCTTCCGTAGTCACACATCGGGGTACCCCGCTATATAAATTAAACCCTAATAATCTCTCCCGTAATCACACATCAGGGTACCCCGCTATATATATCTCTCCCGTAGTCACACATCTTGGTACCCCGCTATATATGTGATGTTCGAGATCTTTTATCGGGTTTAGCTTTTTCTTTCGACCATGGGCTTTTGATACCACTTGTTGAAACCGGTGGTGACCACCGAGTTCACGATCTTGGAGCTGGCTTGCAACCGGTCAGCTCGTTACCACGAGCCTGCGCTTCTACAAGTCACAGTCAAGCGGAGCTACAATATATAAGGCTATGGGCCTTTCCAACCCAAAAGACTAGCTTGATAGGTCGGGGTTCTTCCGCCTTATATGTTGTGCTCCTCCAGCATCGCTACACGATGTGGGACTAAACCCCAACAATCTCTCCCGTAGTCACACATCAGGGTACCCCACCATATATGTCACGTTCGAGATCTTTTATCGGGTTTAGCTTTTTCTTTCGACCATGTGCTTTTGATACCACTTTGTTGGAACCGTTGATGACCACCGAGTTCACGATTTTGAAATTGGCTTGCAGCCGGCCCGGCTTACCACGGGAATGCGCTCCCACATGTCCTAGGTCCAGCGGAACTATAACACATAAGGCAATGGACCTTCCCAACCCAAAAGACTAGCCTAATAGATGGGGACTTCTCCCGCCGGATGGTAACAAGCTGGGTCGACTGCAAACCAGCTTCAAAATCGTGAACTCAGTGGTCACCACCGGTTCCAACAAGTGGTATCAGAGCCCAAGGTCGAAAAAAGCTAAAACCCCGATAAAAAATCTTGAGCGTCACATCATAGCGAGGGCACCCCGATATGTGACTAAGAGGGAGATTATTGGGGTTTAATCCCACATCGTGTAATAATGGTAGGGGAGCACAAAAAAATATAAGGCGAGAGAAGCCCACCTATCAAACTAGTCTTTTAGATTAGGAAGACACATAACCTTATATGTTGTAGCTCCACTAGACCTAAGACTTGTGGGAGCCCAAATTCATGGTAACGAGTCAGGCCGGTGGCAAGCCAGCTCGAAGATCATGAACTCGGCGGGGGTTCCAACAACGAGCACTGCAGGCGAGTCCGACCTGGCGACCCTCTTCCGCGAGAGGAAGCTGATCCTCGTCCTGGACCTGGACGGCACGCTGCTCAACTCTACGAGGCTCGACGACTTCTCCGCGGGCGAACGATGGTTCGGGTTCACGCCCGACACCGGCGACAAGGTCCACATGGACCTCTTCCGGCTGGACTCCGACAACGAGGCTCGACGGCTTCTCCGCGGGCGAACTATGGTTCGGTTTCACGGCCGACACCGGCGACAAGGTCCACATGGACCTCTTCCGGCTGGACTCCGACAACTTTGGCATGCTCACCAAGCTGCGGCCGTTCGTTCGAGATTTCCTGGAGCAGGCGAACTCCATGTTCAAGATGCACGTGTACACCCTGGGGAATCAGGTCTACGCGAAGGCGGCCATCGACCTGCTGGACCCGAACGGCGTCTTCTTCGGCGGCAGAGTCGTGAAAAGGGACGAGTCGACCCAGGGGGGCACGAAGAGCCTCGACGTCATCCCAGGCGCCGACCCCGTCGCGGCGGTGATCCTCGACGCGCTCGACGACACGGACGTTGCCTGGCCGGGGCACCAGGACAACCTCATCCTCACGAACAGCTACCGCTACTTCGCCTCCACCTGCCGCAAGTCCCGCCACGACATCCCCTCCCTGGCGGAGCTGGGCCGCGACGAGAAGGGGGAGCACGGCGGCTCGCTGGCCGTGGCGCTGGGCGTCCTTGAGCTCGTCCACCATGCCTTCTTCGACGGCCCCCGCGCGGACTTGATCACGGAGTTGCGGGGCCAGGTGCTGCGCGGGTGCACGGTTGCGTTCAGCTATCTGGAGCAACGTATGGAGGACTCCCCCGACGACACCCGCTTGTGGACGTTGGCCGAGCGGCTCGGCGCCATGTGCAGGAAAGACGTCGACCAGACGGTCACCCATGTCGTTGCGGAGGATCCGGGGACCCAGAAGGCGCAGTGGGCGCGGGAGCACGGCAAGTTTCTCGTCAACCCGGAGTGGATCAAGGCGGCGAGTTTCCGGTGGTGCCGGCAAGACGCGCAAGAGTTCCCAGTGACCGCCCGGCGCGTCGTGCGCGAGCCGATCGAACTGGCAGCGGCAGTGGGATTGTGTTAATTGAGGAAGAGGTTCCTCCAGGAGCGGCTGGAACGAAACCACGAGCAATGAATGCCTCAAACAGTTGGGGTTTGCCTACGCACTAACCTGATTGCTGAGAATTGTTGCAGCGGCTAATCTTTGTTGATTCACTCCTACCAATCTTTGTTGTTGGAAAAATTCATAGTAGCAACTGTCTCGGTTCAGTACCTTCAGCTGAACGTCATTCTGTTCATTTACTGTCAGGTGTTCGATTGCAGCATCGAGTTTGAACTATGAAATCATCTTGAAGCTGTTAATGATGCAGTGCACTTTCTATCTCTGTTAGAATACATATATTTTGATGATGTTTTAGTACATGTACAGCACACGTGTGGCAATAGTGACTGTCTGGGTTTCAGCTTTTTCAGCGGAACTTCTATTCAGTTACTTTCAGTTTCAGGTGTTCGATAGAAACACCGAGTTTGAAACTACGTACGAAATCATCGTTACTAATGATATCTCTATACTAGAATGCATGTATTTGGATGACGTTAGTACATCACATGAGACATGCCTACGTATTAGTACACTGTTAACCCCTGCGTTAATATGGCTTGATGTACTGCAGTTAAATTCTGAGAGGACGATTGTGTGTATTCGTTGGCTTTGGACACTCATATGATACAGAGAGCCGCCGTCCAGGGTTCAAATATTGCTCTATCGACTGAGAGAGAGAGAGAGAGAGAGTTGATATATACTCCATCTTATTCCCTTCTTCCATCTTCTCACTCAGATTACTCATTTGTTCCCTTCATCCATTTGTTGCATAGACACATCTTGATATATACTCCGGGCCTGTTGGGTTCACGGGAAAAGCATAGGAAAAATGAAGGAATCAAGTTCCTATGGTTTTTTTCATTGTAGACGCGTTTGGAACAAAGGAATGAACGGTTATGTTTCCTTTGGAACGGCGAGCGATCCTCTACTTTTCGGAGGAAAAAAACATCCACGTTGAGCCGATGGAATTTTTCCAGCGGCGCTTGCGTGCGGCTCATGGGCTAATCAAGCTCATGATGACCCGTGCTGCAGTTTACAGTAGCCATTAATTAGACAAGCTCGCTGTGAAGATGCATGCATCTCTATTTTTTTATTATCTACATGTATTGATTAGACAAAAGTAAGTGGTTGCATCATACGTTCATGTAGCACACTTTTTAGGATACTACACCTGCTAATAAGTAGTTAGCTCTTATTTACTCTAAACAACTATGCTTACTGCAAACCAATAGATTCATATGTTATTAGTATTCCTGTGTTCCAAACACCAATTCCTATAAAAATCATGTATTTTTCAATCCTCTGTTTTAGACCCCTATTCCTTTCCTATTCCTGTGTTTTCTCCGATTCCTACGTTTTACATTCCTCTGTTCCAAACAGGCCCTCCATCTTGTTCCCTTAGATTACAAATGAGTATAAAGACAAACCAAAATCAAGTGATGGTTGCCCTTAGATTACTCATTTGTTGCATAGACACTTCTCTTCAAATAACCATCGTGTATGCTCCAAATAACGCATATTAAAGTTGTACTAGTAATATAAATCTGGGATATCTATTACTCCATCAACTGATTTTACAGTTAAGCATACATTTTTTTTATCCAACTCTGAAAATGCCAGTAACATTTCATCTTAATTCATAATTGTCAACAAAAAGGGCACATATAACAGCCTGACTAAAACTTAAAAAAAAACGGTGCCTTTAAAACATAGCAAGACATAAAATTCCAAATAAAAACATAACTGCAAATCGAAGTTACTATTCCCTAATAACGGCAACATAGGGTAGCTCTACGGAGCCCATGTACAGCTTGCCGCCTTCTCTCTCCACCACCTCCGTCGGCCTCACGCTCTTGGGCCCTCTCATCACCTGGAGCACCTGCCCGTCGGCCCCGACCCTGACCGCGAGCAGGTGGCTGTCCGGACCAAAGGGCAGCTCCATCTTCTCCCGGTGCAGCGCCACCCAAAACCCTCCTCTGCCATCGGCCCTCACATTGTCAGGGTAGCCCGGCAAGTCGGCGAGGTTCTCAGATGTGCCCTCCTTGGGACCCTGGATCCAGTACCTGAGCAGCTTGCAAGGCCCTGTGAGCGCGACCACGAGGTGTGTCCTGTCAGCGCTAATGGCGAGGCCATTGGGGTACGTGATGCCGGCCTGCAGCACGGTGACATGGCCCGTCTTGGCGTCGTACTTCATAAGGCGGCCGGACGAGTCTCCGGTGGCCGTCACCCTCTCGTGCTGCGACCGCGGGTAGTTCATGCTGCTGTCCGTGAAGAACACGTCCCCGGTGACCTGGTCGACGTCGACCCCATTGGTGAAGCGGAGCGGCACGCCGTCGACCTCCGCTGCCAGCACCGTCGCCTCGCCACCGCCCGGGCCCACGCGCATCAGCCCCTTGTACGCGTCGGCGATGTAAAGGTTGCCAGAATCGTGGTGGAACCGCAGGCCCAGCGGGCGGCCGCACCTGCTCTCCGTGAGCTCCGCCGGCCGAGCTCTGGACGTGGTGCAGGCCTCGGCGTCGTAGCCCGGGCTGTACGCGTACGTCGACCAGCCGCGCGCGAACCCGTTCCACTTGAGGACGCGCCCGTCGGAAACGCCGCTGTAAGGGCCGGCGCCCGCGCCGTCGAAGGCCACGCTCTCCGGGCCGCGCAGCATCGATCCACGAAGTGGCAGGTGCTTGCTCCGGCTGCCATCGATGGTGCTCGTTTCGGAAATGGGGCGAGCCGCGCACGGCAGGAGCAGCAGCAGGACGGCGAGGCACAAGATCGCCAATGTCCAAGCAAGCTTGTGGATCGCCATGATTTCTTCTGTTTACACGGGCGCAGCGGCAGACGGTGTTCGTGTCGTGGGCTTGGTGGCTTGGACCTTGCGTTGGTTCGCTGAAGGCTTTGCGAACGATGGCTCTGGTTTTGTGGACAGAAGCGCAGGGTGCCGCCTCCTTTTATGTGGTCTGGGCTGGAGTAGCTTCTTTACGAATCGAATCGTGCAATGGACTCGGACTCGGACTCGGTGGTCTTGTACGTTCGGATTATCGGACTCGGCTTGATGGGCGCAGTGCTGTGTTCCGTAATTCCGTTTGCCTTGGGCTGTGTACATGTTCCAGACGGAAGAACGGAAGGTGACCTCCAACTATCGGACTCGGTTTATAAACCTGGCCAGTATTCAACAAGAAATTCATGTGCCCTTGCGGTCATTATTTTGTCGTTGTACCAATTCGTGGCCTCCAGTCAGTGCGACTGGAAATTGATCGGTCGATCCGTACAGTTTGAAACTAACCAAACATTCATGAAGAAAGTTTCATCTCGATCCGTGTGCATGCGTTGTGATCAGCAGGATGAGCAGCAGCAGATCGATCGATCCGTGGGCACGGGCACGGGCGTGCGGAGGTGGTGGGTTCTCTTCTCCTTGGTCTTGTTGGACTCCTACCTGAGCCTCGACTCGTCGGCGAAGCGGGTGGCGAGCTTGGCGGTGTCGCGCCACCGGCACGCCTCGCGCTCCGTCTCCCGCAGCTTCTGCCGCGCGCGCTCCAGCGCCGACTCCAGCTCCGCGATCCGCGCCTCGTGCCGCGACTGCAGCAGCTGGTGCAGTCTCCGCTCCAGCTCGCGTGCCGACACGCCGCCGTGGGGCGGGCTCTTGATCCCGTTCCCCTCATCTGCGTCGCGCTCGTCGTCCTCGTCCTCGTCCACCTCTTCTTCGTCGTCGTCGCGGTCTTGGCTCTCGTCGCCACCGCCGCCGTTGTCTGTCTCCCCGTCGTCGTTGTCGGAGTCGGAGAAGATCGTCGAGCGGCTCCCCGAGGAGGCGCTGCTCTTCGGGGCCTCATGCAGCTGCGAGGATCATCAGTCACTCAATCAGAACAGAGCACACGGTCATGAGCGATCGAAGCACGGTTTTAACTTTTAACCACGCGCTACCAACCTCGAGCTGATCATCACGCCGTCGGAGACGAGGACTGTCGTCCTCGACGTCCGAAGCTCGCTGCAACTGCAAGAGCGACAGCTCCGCCTCAAGCTCAGCTTCCATCCGGTCCATGTCACGGCGCCCGCCGTCTTCGCGCGCCCGACGGCTCGCCGGGGCGGCCGTGCCCGCCCGCGAACCATCGCCTCCAGAGCGGGCGACGGGCCCCTTGACGACGCTGGCGCAGTCGGTGGTGCGGTCAACGGAGGCGCTGGGTCGGCCGTTGCAGCTCCGCACGTCCGCCCTGGCGTCGAGGAGCAGGCGCTCCATCTGGGCGCGCAGCTCCGCCATCCTGCCCAGCTCCGCCGCGCTCTTGGACAGCAGTAGCACCAGGCTGGCGCCCAGGCCCAGGCTCGCCGGCAGCGCGTCCTTCCCTGCACGCCATACATACACACACAAGCGTCGTCATCGTCACCACTTGGCCATGCAATGCACGGGGGTACACCGTGGACACAGGCGCCCACGCGCGCGCACGTACCAAGAGAACTCCGAGGGGACCCGGGCTCGCGACGCGCCGGCTTGTCCTCCTCCTCATGCTTTGCGGCTTCGGCGGTTCCAGCGGTGGCGACGGCGACGGCGTCCTCCTTGGCCGCCGCGGCGTTGGCGCTGGCGCAGTAGCGCGGGAGGAGGCGGAGCCGGCATCCAAACCCGCCGCCGCCGCGGCCCCTGTGGAGGATGCGCGACAGCAGCGACCGCGGCGAGGAGCACCCACGGTGGCGATCGCCGGCCGCGGAGGCCCTGGTGAGGAGCGTCCCGACGGTGGGAGGAGACGAGGCCGACTGGCGCGGTGGCGCCGGCGCCGGCGCCGTGGTGATCCCATCCGCTGCCATCGGGTATGGAGTGGCTTGTTCGAGCAGCAGCTGAGGCGGCTCGACGTCGATCAGGATCTATCTGTGGAGGATTCGATGCGTTCGGGAATGGAATGGATCGAGGCGTGCGGCGGGTGTGTGTTTATAGAGGGCGGCAATCATGGTGGGGGGGGGGGATTATTCGCGCGTGGAATTCGAACAGTCGGAGAGGCATTTGCGGTCGTGTAAATGGGGCGATGGATGGTAGGTTCTCCGTATAATTGCGCGCGTAGACTAGAGCAGTGGGACTGTGGGAGCATCGGTATTCATTTACGGCGCTACCAACCGCCGTCGACGATGTCGCCGGCTCGCCGCCGGGGTCCTTCGAATTCCTGATCCCGTTGGCTCCGACAGTGTGGTCTGACTGTCTGAGGGACCGGCGTCGCCGTGCATGCGTGCTGGACGATGGCGTTCAGGGGTTCGAATTGCCGGTTTGGCATACACTATATGCTGTAAAACGGGTAGGCTGTATAAAATTTTCTCTCTCCCCCTGTCTAAAATCTAAAGAGCACAGTTCAACGCTGCAAAAGCCAGACTGGAGTGAAGGTGCGAATCGAGGATGGGATCAGGGAGGGAATGATGGCGGGGACGGAGGCTCCAGACCAAGCAGGAGTGGTGGTGGTTGGGTGCGCGCGCTCTCGCTCCAACGGTCAGAGGGAACGCGTGAGCCACCTTAAATTGGTCGTCCGTCCCCTCTGGGAGTCCAATCGATCCCGCTTGGCGGGAGTGCTCATCTCAACCGGATCATGCTGGTCGTTGCGCTGTGTAATTGTCACTCAAAATGTGATCATTTTCAACTGCACAGCACGTCCCCCATCACTTCAAGGCTTCAACATATGTACGGATACACCCAGCAGTCGTTTAATAAAAAGTTCAACTAACCTCGCCCATCCAAATGTATACTGTTTTAAAAATTTCCAATTCATTTGCCTTGTATCTGAATGCTATATATAGCTGTTTGCCTGCGGGCCAAATCGATGCGAATGTATCAACACAAGAGCGAAAAAGCTCTCGGTAGCATATAATATAGATGATTAGAGGAACCGGAACATAAGGCCGTCCACAATGTGGTTAGTGAGGCCAGGAAAAATGTGGGTCCAGCTACAGCAAATTAAGCATAGCAAGGAAAGTTGTAGTATGTAAAAAAGATAGAACCGGTGCCACTTCGTACATGGAACCATAACTTCGATAAAATATTCATCGTCTTCCCCCCACAATCCGTTTTAGTCACGCTCTGGAAAAATCCCCACTCCTCCCGTTCCTCCTGAAGCAGCAAAGTGGACACAAAATCCCCCAAATCAATTTGCATGCTCCCCAATTAAAGTCTCCCATTCGTAGATCTTGCGTCTCTAGGTGTTCCTTTGCTCGGATCTAGCGTCGTCGGTAGGAGGTGGGGCACAAGAGGAGGCGGGGCGGACGGGAGAAGGCAGCCGTGAGTTGGGATGCGGAGGACAATGCAGCAGAGGCGAGCAAGGGCGCCGACGCGGCCCGTTGCCGCGTGCCCGTCCGGCCGCACACCCATGCCGACCCTGCTCCGCTCGCTGTTGCAGAATCAGCTGATGGTGCCGGCGGTGGAGGGGCGCGGAACGTGGTACGGGCGGCCAAGGACGCTGGCGGAGTGCGGCGGGTGGTGGTCACCTTGTCCATCTCGGCCATGGTGCCCAGCCCCGGGTGGCCCTCCGGCGAGGTCCTCGACGAGCGTTGTTGGACCGACATCGACTACTGCGAGAAGAACAGGGTGAGCCTCGCCTACCTGCCAACTCCAGCTGCTTGGGTGCTTCCTTCTCAGTGAACTCATCTGAACTCTGAAAGGAAAACATTCTCAGTAAACGTGAACAGTGAAAATGGTCTGCTAAATTCCTATGTGTGCTAAATTTTCGGAGACATGCATATATTAATGGATACACCAATACATCAAGTAGGTTCAGATTACATAAAAATTATACAAGTAACCTGGTACATTTAAACTACTACAAATTGACCTTCAAGGTTGACCCCCTCCAAAACGCTGATATATATGCTCAACTAAGTCCGCCTTCAGACGACAGCGCATATCTTTATTTTTAATATCTTCTTCTACCTCTAGAGCCCTGGAAAATCCATGAATTGGGCCATGTCCATATCCTGCCAGTGGTGTGGGTGAGCTGCCCTGGTCATACTGATTGTCATAGTCTTCATCATAGCGAACTTTGTAAGAATCCCTTTCATCCTCCACAACCATGTTATGCACTATAATGCATGCATACATGATTTCAGCCATTAATCGCACTTGCCACATACGTGCTGGGCTTCGCAGAATGGCAAAACGAGCTTGCAAAACACCAAAAGCACGTTACACATCTTTTCTTGCTCCCTCTTGTTTTTGTGCAAACAGTGCGTCCTTGTTACATTGAGGCAAATGAATTGTCTTCACAAAAGTTACCCACTCTGGATAAATACCATCCGCAAGGTAGTATCCCATGTTGTATTCATTGCCATTGACCGTGAAATGAACTTCAGGAGTCCTTCCTTGTACTACTTCAGTGAACAAAGATGATCGATTGAGGACATTGATGTCATTGTTTGACCTAGCTACACCAAAAAAAGCATGCCATATCCAAAGGCCGTGTGAGGCAACAGCCTCCAACATGACAGTAGGTCCATGCTGATCTCCATGGGTATACCGACCCTTCCATGTCACTGGACAGTTTCTCCATTGCCAATGCATGCAATCTACACTTCCCAGCATGCCTGGAAAACCTCGAGCTTCGCCTATATGCAATAAACGTTGGATATCTTCTCTAGTTGGTTTTCTCAAGGTTTAGAACCAACTAAGTAGTACAGTAACACATATAAGACATGTTATGATCAGATTCCATTTTTGCAGGTGACAAAGATAGTGATACATATAAGACAAGATACATTGCTGGTACTTCATAGCACATCAATGGAGGTACATTCATACAAGTTCAGGTACATCTAATTGAGAGGGGTAGTACAAGTCAACTTAACTAAAAAGGTCCTTAGCTAATAAAGCCAACATTTGGTCATGTCCTGCCTTGGTTCTTTCATCATAACCTGATGTGTCTGTACGAAGCAGCACCATGTACATCTCTATTTTCTGAAGCTTTGTCTTGTCCTTCTCTGCATCTGCCATTTTATTATCAGCCTCGGCTTTGGTTTTTGCCGCTTCAGCTTGCACAAGTGTTGCTTCAACCATTTTCTCAGCAGCAGCTGTTTTTCTTAACTGAAGTTCATTGAATTGCTGCACATTATCATTTGAAATACTGTCTTCTGAATGAACTAACTTGCCTTTGTTTTTTTGTTGAGCTTTGGCTGCATTTCGCCCTAGTGGTTGACACCTAGATGAAGGGTCTGCATCTTCGCTCTCTGGATTTGAAGAAGTATAAGCTCCTGATTCATTCAACCGACTTCTCTTATTCATCATTTCTTCAATCGGGTAAGCTTTACTCCATTTGGGCTGATCCTTCACTGCCTTCCACCAATATTCTAGTGCAAAAGGCCTTTTTTTCTTTGCAGCTCCTTTGTATTCTTCACGTGCTCTCTCTATGACTTGATCATCAGATTCACCACTGCCATGCTCCCTTTTTGCCTTGTCATAGCATGCATTAAACTTGGTAATAAAAGGGATAGTCTTTTGCCAATGGTTCTTGCACTGAGTAGCACTTCTTCTCTGTTGTTTGGGGGCATGCATGTTGTATTCTGCTGCAACATCCTTCCAATACCTATCTCCCCTTCTATCAACTCCAACAACTGGATATGTGGAATGTTTTATCCAAGCACTTAGTAGCCGAAGATTTTCTTCTTGACCCCAATGTACACGCCCTTCTCTCTTTTCTAACTCATCAGGGCTGCTCTCACTCCTCTCACTCCAAACTGCTGCTTCGACAGGATCTGCACCAAGTTGCTGCTCTTGGGACACTGGAGAAGCTGAACCAATCGGGCTACTCTCATCACCTCGCGAATCGGTGGCACGGCTACCTTGAAAAAAGGCTATGGACCCAACCGGTGAAGCTTCACTGCCTCCTCGTGGGTGTTGTCCCACACCCACAGCACCCTGGTAAGAACTCCCAGGATATCCTTGTGTGAATGGAAATTGTGGGTAATTTGGCTGGGCTCCAAAAGGATTGAATATTCGTGGATATGGGTGGTGGAAATTTGGAGGAAATTGTGGTGGTGGATAGCTCATGGGGTAATGGGGTGAGGGGAAATGATGCTGTTGACTAACCAGTTTTTCTGGATCAACACTTGTGAATGCAGAATTCATCAGGTTTGTGAAAGACAAAGTGTTGTCCATGTATACACAGGAAGGCAAATTTGTGGAAGGCAGATTTGAATGAGTGCTTGTGTATGTGTTGCGGTGTTACCCCTGTATATGTATATATAGGGTAGTGGTCTGGGTGCTGGGAGGAGAGCGTAGTGGTCTGGAAGCAAAGAACGGTCATGTGACCGTTGCCCTCTTGAAGGCTCAACTGCCAACTACTTGTACAGTAACTTTATAATATTTAAAGAAGTTGAAACCGGCGCAAGTACCTTCACCGCTCTAGCTTTTCCTGGCGTCACTCAAGAGTTGGCAGCACCCCCATAGTGGTAGGAACGATGCTTACTTTTTCTCTCTCCTTTCCTGGCAGCACTTTAGCAACACACTGTGGAGGGCCTAACAAACAAGTTTTCACTGCGTTTCTCCACTACAAAAGGCAGGAAATAATCAAGGTCCATTGATCTGCCTAAGCTCTTCGATGGCACACACAAGAAAATAGAAGAAACAAAGAAAGAGGAAACCTCATTGCAAAAATGATGGATACAACAACGATCCGCTTCTCTGGTCATATCCTGAGAGGCTGGTGTCCAGACCTGGCCTGGTCAGCTTGTAATCTTCTCTGCTGCCGGGATCTGATGTTTTCCACCTCTTGGAAAGGGTTCGGCCCACTGAAGCCTCGCATGGATTTCCTCACCTTCTTCCTCTTTCCGCTGTCATACTCCTCATCCCTAGGAATGAGATGACATGAGTGTCTCAACAAAAAAAGTTGTACAATTCAAAAACCAGAAACTCAGAAGTCGTAATCTCAAAACATTTGAACATCAAACAACGACAGAACCATTACTGGGAAACATATAATAAATACCCAAGAAAATACGTGGTCTATCATCATTCGGGTTTTTTTTTTTTTTGAACAAAGTCTATCATCATTCGTCTTCAACGACTAAGGCCGTGTTTGGCCGGGCTCCGGCTCTGGCTCTGCGGCAGCTCCGGCGGAGGAGCCGCACCTAACACGCTGGCCAGAGGAGCCGCTTCTGCCCGTTCGCCAGCCAGAGGAGCCGAAGCCCTTTTGCGCGTACAGAGGAGGAGCCCGGATTTGTGGCTTCGCCGCTCCGGCTCCGGCTCCCGCGACAGAGCACCGCGGGCGGAGCCCCGGCCAAACACGGCAAAAGCCACTTTGAAAGGCAGAACAATGCTACATCAGCATATTCTGTAAGATTTTTAAACCTATACTGAAGTTAGAGCAAGGAGCCAGCCTCTGCTCCACAGCCGGTGGTTGAGATAAAAGCATCCAGAGCCAGTACCATGAATGTTAGCAAGAGGCAAGAGAACTCAAGCTGTCATGCATGACCATCAAGATGAAATGAATCATAAGACTTATTGGCACCAGGTACTGAATTTATTCAACTTACCATTTATCTAAAACATAACCAATGCTGGTGGAATTGGAACATTGCAGCTCTGTTGCCATGTCATCATCATCCCACCGTAGAACTGGAAATGATAAGATATATTGTTGAATAAATTTAGTACATTTCTGTGAGGCTGCTCATATGCATGGAGTCAGGGAAGTGTTACAAACTAACCTCTTAAACCCCTTGTGAGGAGATTAAAATGCCAGGAGCCTTTCTCATCTCTACCCCCACATTTTCCTGAATCAGGATTTGACATAGATCTGGGGCATAAGCTTGCTAGCTCAGCACCAGCAAGTGTTGCATCCTCGCTGCCCTTCTTGTCCACGGTAAGTTCAACAGCACAGGAGTGTCCAAGGTTTTGTTTCTTGCCATAGATCTGAACAGAATCTTCAGAGCTTGCACTATTACGACAGTGTTTCCGTCTATGGGATTTATGCGATATACCACTAGTAAGAACAGTTTCTGATGTTGATGTCTGCTGATCATCAGCAATACCTTCAGTAACCGCAGAAGATTTGTGTTTCCTTTTCTTACGCGGTTTCAGGGACGCCAACAACAGTTGTTTGGACCCAAAACACAAGTTGACAACTGGATGTTTCACATGCTTCTTTGACTTGATTTTCATATTTTTATGCAGACTGCCATGACATGGATTCTTGCCTACCACATGCACAGAGTTTTCAGAGCACATCACCTGCACACAATCTTCGGAGCTGGCCACATGTGTAGCGTCTTCAGAACAGATTTTCTTCTCAAGGTTAACATGTCCAGTGTCCAGTGAGTTATTCTGCAAGGATGTTTGCCAAATTTATTTAATAAAATAAGCACATAGATATATCAATGATAAACTCTCTTTTTTACCATGAATAGAACAGCAGTGAATGCATGACACACCACTTGCTAGATGGGCGACGGCATGCACCCTGCTCCATATAAACAACCCAAAATAGAAGGGACAAAGCCAGTGGCTCAATACCTGGCCAACTGCATCTGTTGTGTGGTCCATTTCCATAACAGAGACTTCGTTCACCATAGCCAGCCCATCCCCCAGTGTATTGTTCCCCATAGTAGTCTGCAGCAGCAAGAGATAAAAGGAGGAAACATTGTCTTCAGCAGGTTGACTTACATGTGCACGCATGGAATATTGGTCCATAGCATTGCAAGGAAAATATGTAATGGCAGGGCGTGTAACAATTACCTGCTCCTCTGCTTTTACTTTATCATCAATGTTTTTCACAGAAAGCTCCTTCACAACTAGTCCTTTAGCTTCATCATTACTAGTTGAATCTTTGTTGCCGGACATTGTTCCATTAGAAACATCAGTAACCTTACCATATTTGCAAGAGCTAGAGTAAATATAAAGTAATGAAAACCTAAAATGTATGGAAAGGATCAAGAAGCAACAACGGAAACATCACAGGGTTACCTCAGTTGGGATGGCTTGTGCAATAGTTGTTGCATCACTATCAGGAGTGGGTTTGCAAAATGCATATGTTCGAGGTTCATTAGCCTGCTCGTTTGCCCCCAATAATCCATCAACACCACTGCATAAGCGCAAAGCAGAATTAAGGATGTCTTTGCCTGAATTAACGAGTGCACCATCAGATTCTAGTGGCACGTCCTGCAATGGCTTCTCATATGCTTTCTGATCAGAGCTTGCATCACAGAGAATACAAGCATCAGGCTGTCCTATAGATGTTCTCTCCATTTGATTAGCTGGTGTTATTTGCTCTGGTTTGGAGTACAATGTAGCAGTACCATCTGGATCTGTGCATCTGGCTTTCTGTACTAGCTCGTTGTTTTGGGATGTTAAATCTTTAGTAACCTCAGTGCTTCCATGTTCATTTGAACACTGGTCCTGTGAGATGGTGGTGTTAATATTGCTGGGCTGATCATTATCTGGATTCAGCTTCTGTGTCTTCATATCAGGAATACAAACCTCAGGCTGTCCTGGAGAAATTATCTCCCTCTGAACACACTGTGTTACTTGCTCTTCTTTGGTGGACAAGGCATCAGCACCATCTGGGAGTGTGCATGGGACTTTCTGTACAGGTGCATTGTTTTGAGACGTTGAAGCTTTAACATCTTCAATGTTGCTATGTTCATTTGAACACTGATCTTGAGAAACTGCACTAATATGACTGGGCTGACCCTTGTCTGGGTTCTGCATCTGCAACTTTGTATCTACTTTGGTAATTAGGGAGAAATCCAATGTTTTCTCCACTAAAGCATTTCGAATTATACCATTCATACATGCAATCTTCTCAGAAAACATTTCCTTTTCTGACAAACTGGAAGCACCATTATCTTTATGAATTACGGAGCTCCTCACTCTTTCACGCACATAAAATAGTATGTGTTCTGCTTTAGTACATCTTGCTCATGGACTTGGCAAACCTGGAAGTATCCACAAATAATCAACAAAAGGAGCAAAGAGCATAATTCAAATAAAGCATGCCCCTGATGCACATAAGGTACTGCAATAACTTAATCACACCAATAATAATCAATGGGAGCAACCACAGTACCAAACAGAGCAAAAATCTCATTTCCCTCTTTTGGCCATACAGACACCCCTTTCAAAGCCACCCACAACCCAAACCACTTCAAAAAGCAGGCCCTTGTACAAAACAGTGATACAAAACGAGGTCTCTGACATGTGTACGATAAAAACAAGAGGTACATTACATTAAGCAACGATGCAAAACCATTGGCACAAGCACAACATGGAACTACTTACTACTATATCAACAATAGAAATTATACTGAGGCAAGTTCTAGTGAGTAGGGACCACCGAAGTATATAAATTCCATGAGACGCATTTTGACCTTTTATTTAACTGACAGGACAAGATATTTTTGACGGAGGTATGCAGAAGACGAATAAAGATGAGATTTTAGGGAAGAGAAAGAACAAAAATGCATGAGGTGCCACTGGTTAGAATAAAAAACCCACAGCATGGATCAACACCAAGTCAAATAGGATAAATCTATAGAAGGATTGGAATTGCAACCTGGTTATCGTCAAGATTGTGCCACAACCCACTAGACGTCCGAATGAAACAATGATAGTGACCTGATTGTGTATTCCGACCAGCATGAACCAAAACACCATAGAGATTATATTTCAAATCCATACCCTACACACAAAAAAACAATGGGTGTGGGCAATACATAAACAAACTAACACAAATATAAAACTATACTATGAAAAGCTACTACACATGTACTTCTAGAAAAGTAATAACTCACTTCTGAATTGCTGACAGATGGCTTCAAGTTCAAAGTTGTTCGAAAATCAACCTTTTTGTCAATCTTTTGAAGAGGGTTGAAAGGACTAAAGCGTTTCAAATGAATTGCCAACACGAAAGGAGCCTTATCAATAAGGAACCTTTTCTTTGCCACAACTTTCTCCTTGCTCTGCTGGCAGTTGTAGTGCTTTTCCCCACCATCTAATAGCTCCTCCTCGGTAAAATTGTAAAGTGCTTTCATCAATGTGGCGGCATTGCCAATTTCGACACTGAGATCCAGGAAAGGATCAAATGTGTTTGAACAGTGGGAGCACCTTGTACATCTCACCTGCAATGTGTATATAAACATTGATCAGTATTTATGATAGTATTTATGACGAATATAGCTTCCTTTGATATCACTCGTACGAATGTAATTATGCAATTAACAATACCTGACTTTTTAAGCGGCCGCCAAATATTCTGTGAACTAGACTCTTCTCATAAGGGCTTGGTGACTCACTTGCTATACCAGATGGTAAGCAGCATTTGTGCATTGACTCAAGCAAGCTAACCATTAGCTCATGTGCATCTTCCTGCCTATAGTAACGGAAATTACGAGAAATGCCTGCCTTGCAGTTAAGGATTGCACTATAACGATTAGCTCATTCAGAGATTTCGTTATTTAGGACTCAACGCGCGCCTCATGAATTTGACACCATATTCGCATGCCTTTCAGAAACTGACACCCTGCATGTGAATTGTTTCAGTTCAAGTGCTTCTCTCTTTTCATCTTTTCTTCTCCTTCTCATTTTCCAGCCAACATCAATTCCGAGTCTGCCCCTGCCTTACCCACAAGCCGCTCACTCTCGCCCGTCTCTCTCGATGCCATTCCCGCTCCTCTTGGCCACTGCCGCTATCGAAGCTCCCTGACGGCAACTAGGCTCGGAGGCTCTTCCGCAGCCACCAGCGCTGAGTAGACCACAGCCAAAGCTCCCTTCCACTGCAGCCTTCAACTTGACTCTACTCATGTCTCTGTGTCGCAGGCGCCGTTAGAGTTAGGCAAGTGCGCACGCCGCTGGCGCTAGGAATGGGATCATGCCATTTGTACATGACGTTCCGGCTACTCACATCGGCCGATGGCCCTCCTGGTCACGAATGCTAGCGGCTGCAGCGGCACTTCTGTTCAAGAGACCGGATGCAAGAGAGATAGAACGAACGAGGGGGAAAGAACGCATGGCCAGGAATGGAAAGCAAAAAGGGAAAGGATGAAAACTGAGAAAAAAGGAGGAAAACACCCAAACTGAAACAATTCGCGTGTCGGGTCAATTTTTGAAAGTCATGCAAATTGGGTGTAAAATTCGGCAAGTGTGTATTGAGTCCCAAATAACAAAATCACCCATCTATGTTTGAATGAATGTAGGTAGATTTTCATATTTTAAAATTTAAAAGAATAGGAACTGCTGAATTAGGTTATAGCACATGAAGGATACATTTTAAGTTGTTGACAAATAGCCGTGGTGTCAGAATTTTCTCAGAGGACCGCAGAGCAAACTGAACATGGTGCTGAAGAGAGCATAATGCACAGAATCCAGCAATATGACCTATAAAAAGTTACAAACTGAATTAAAAATAATCACAGAAACAAAATTTGTGTCCTAAAGGAAGTGTAGCACTTGCCAAAAGAAAGGCCTAAGGAGGCGAATTTCCTATATAACACTGGTCCCAATGTTTTCAAGTCGTCCGATTAATCGCGATTAATCGTCCTAATCGGTCCCTGCTGACTGATTAGGGGTACCGTCGACTTGTACAAGTCGTCCGATTAATCGCGATTAATCGTGATTAATCCCCACGGCGACTAGGTTCGACTGGACGATTAATCGCGATCAATGTTTTCTCAGCACTGGTATTCGCACGATTCCATTGAATCGCATGAGCATAGCCCCTCAAATAAATGTTTTCACTCGCATGATTCAGTTGAATGCTTTCTCAGCACGTACTCAGCGTGATTCAGTTGAACCGAATGAGCAGAGCCCCCGAAATGTTTTCACTGCATGATTCAGCTGAATGCTTCATCAGCTGGTACTCAGCATGATTCAGTTGAATCAAATGAGCATAGCCCCTCAAATAAATTTCAGTTTTCACTGCATGGTTCAGTTGAATCGCCCCAAAAGTAAAAGAGGGTTGGAACAACAAAGAGACCCGAGTTTAAAGTGCAAAAAGGAACCAAAAAAAAACGGCACCAGCGAACCCAAAATTGATTCACGCGGTAAAATTGTAAGAATAAAATGCAGGAAATTCAGAGTAAAGATAGCAAATCATCATCCGCAAGGATGAGGCAACGTTGAAGAAATCGCAGCTTCCCAGCAACAAAACGGAGAAAGTGGACAACTCGGAGAGAGGAATGACGATCCATCACCCAACCAAAAAACCCACTAAACTGCAGCAGCAGCTCCACTTAGCGAGCGCAAACCGACCGCGACAGGGAAACCACGAGTCGTGCGCACTCACGATCTTCCGCGGGAAGGTTCTCCCGGCGCCGACCTCCGGATCGAGCCCACTCCCGCTGCTCTCCCCAATGTGGAGCCTCCCGCCGTGCCGCCCGCTCCGCGCGGCCGACACTCGCCTCTCAGCGTCCGTAAAGAGTCCCCTCGCCAATCGAAACCCCTCCGGCACGGCCACGGCACGGGGCTTGGCGGCGGCGTGGAACTCAATCCTCCGGCGCATCAGCTCCTCAAACTCCGCCGACGACGTCTCCCCCCATTCTCTAGGGTTTCGCGCGCGGGCAGCGGCGCTGGAGCGGATCGGCGGCCGGTTGGGACCAGGTAATTTTCTCGAATTTGGGGCAGATTTCCGGGGACATTTAACTTTTTTTTTCATCCTTACGGATGGCAACTCGTTTGCCATTTTTACACGGACCTGTATATTTGTCATCCTAAACCATAACCCTCCTCTTTTTTTTTTCATTTTTCTGATGTGGCATGCCACGTAGGGGTCAGCGTGACAGCGTCTCTCCTCCTGCTGCTACTTCTCTCTCCCTCCACTCGCTGACATGTGGGCCCCACCAGTCACGTTCATTTTCAACCTTTGGCCATCGAAGAAACTATCCCCACAGTGCAGAGGTCTTCATGCAATAAATGTGAATCTTTTTTCACTGTCTCTCTCTTATCCCTCTGATGCTCTCTCCTATGTTCTCTGCCAACCAAACCAAAGCGTGGCGGCGCGCGGCCGATGCGGGCTGGGTCGGGGCGCGGTGGTGCGGCCGCCGTGGGCAAGCGGGGCCGGCTCGGACGACGGGTGTCGCTGCAAGCGGGCGGACGCGATGGCGCGTCCGAGTGTGAGCGAGCAGGGCCAGCGCGGGCGTGGTGGCGCGGCCGACATGGCGGGCCGGGGTGGGCGGGCGTGGCAGCGCGGCCGTGCGGGGCCGAGTGTGGGCGCGGCGGCGCTTCCGCCGTGGGCGAGCGGGGACGGCTCGGGAGAGCGGTGCCGGTGCGGGCGGGCGAGCGCGACGACGCGTTCGAGCGCCGGCAAGTAGGGCCGGCACGGGCGCAACGAGCGGAGCCGGTGTGGGCGGGCACGACGTGGGCGAGCGGGGCCGGTGCGGGCCATCCTAGAAACCGGTGGTTTCTTCCCAACGACCAGAGGTTAAAGATTAACCTGACTGGTGGGGCCCACATGTCAACGAGTGGAGGGAGAGAGAGAAGCAGCAGCGGGAGGAGCGGCGCTGCCACACTGGCTGACTGCGTTGCATGCTACATAAGCAAAAATGGCAAAAAATTAAGAGTGCTACTGTTTGCGATGACAAATATATAGGTGCCTGTGTAAAAATGACAAAAGGAGGAGTGTAATCCGTAAGGATGGTAAAAAGTTAAATGTCCCAAATTTCTGGGATTGAATCCACTGGCTAGTCTCGATCGAACTAGGCCGCACGGATTGATTGGTGTTGGAAGGTTGCTCGAAAGGGGGTTGGGGGCGAGAGCGAGCTAGGAAGATGACGAGGTTGGGGTCTATACTCGGGCTACGCCTGACAGATGGATGGCCTGATTATGCCAGCGAGGGGGAATGAGCCAATCTAGAGCGTTGGTCGTGGGCCCACGTATAAGGTACGGTGGCGGCAGGCGGCAGCCATGTGCCCGTGCGGCAGGTACTGGGTTTTGTGCTGGAGTCTTTGGCGAACTTGTAGACCTTGATTGTGTTTGAACACCATGAATAACTTCTTCCAAAATTCTTGCAGGTTTGCGTGCGAACATGAGTACAAAAAAAGTTACTTGAATTCATGCAACGGAGAACCAAGGGACAAGAACATTTCAAGACTTCTCCAACACTCCAACAGCATCACATGTCCCTTAAATCAATCGTACTAGAGGAGATTAGGCAATGAACAACGTTATTGCGCGAGAGGCTTCTTCCTCCTTGAGGCGAAACTCCAATCCCTCCGGGATCCCAGACTTTTACTTGGAGTGGGTAATGTATGGAGATATTATTCTAATTGTCATTTTAGTTCATAGTGGGGGTTTTCTATCCATGGGTTTTACTCCTCCTTCCAAAAGAACTCTGAGCCCCCCCTCGCCCCCTCCACCCCCTCCTTTGCCCTCCGCTAAACTCAAGGAAGCCACCAGTGAGCTCTGCCCACGTTCTCGCCCCCGTCCCCACCAACAGGGCCCGCACGCGCGAGCTGCTTGCCACGCCACCCTCAACCCGCCCCGTCTCTTGACCCCGCCCACCCTAATCCCAGAGCAGGGCCCCGATTGAGCTCCACCGCGATGCCCCGACCGTTAGCCCCACCCAACCACCTTCTCTTGTCGCTTCGCCCCACCACCGTCTCTCATGTTCACCACTGTCGTGTCGCACCCTCCTCCCCCCGATCCCCTTCTAGAGACGTCGAGGATAGATCCCTAACCTCGCTGGAGCCCCACCGCCGCCATCTTCTTCCTCTCCAGCGGGACGCGGGCGTGTGGGCATGTCGCGTGGGAGAGGGAGAGTTGCACCGTCTGAGGTCTACGCAACAATCATGTGTTTGCATTTCTGTTAGGCAATTAGGCTACATTTTCTCCGACCATCCTTCCGTTTCTTGGTGGCTAAAAAAGGCATATATTGTCTTTCCTCAAATAAAGCGAGAATTATACTTTCTCCAAGGTAACTGACACTTTTTTTCATTTTGGCCACCACGAACTTTTAGCCGGAGCTTACATGTTGTCCACAAAAGACGTGCACGTCATCGTCGAATACAAGTTGCAAGCTTCAATGTTGCCACGCAGGTCTGATCTATCGCTCCCTAGTCTTGGTATCACCTACTGTGCAGTAGGTGGACTCTTCACCTTGTCGATGTTTCACCACCGATAGCCTGCCACGGGGGTCCCCGGGGCAGTATTGTTCGGGCTTCAGCGTATGCGGAACTCGACGGTGAACACAAGAGACAGTCGATTTATCCTGGTTCAGGCCCTCGACTGTGGTCGAGTAACAGCCCTACGTCCAGTCGGCGTTAGCCTTTGCGTTGGATTGATTGTGTTGTAGAAATCGTGATCTCCCTTCTCTAGGAACCCTGCCCTCCTTTATATAGTCAGGAGGTCAGATTCCTAGTCGGTTTACAATGAGAGTTCATAGTAGAATTACAAAATACTACTACTACTAAGATTACATGGGGAGAATCATAGTTAGACTATATCTTCTCTCTTCCTTGCGGGGTATCCTGTGGGTCCTGCATCGACAAGCCTCCGAGCACTTCATGGTTGAACTCCGGAAGCCTTGTCTTGTTCCTCTAGGTCCTGCCGAGCAGGAACAAGCGTCGCCTGAGTGCTTTCTTGAGTGAAACCATGTAGCGCTTCTTGGAATCTTCGAAAAAAGTACGGAAGCCTTGTCTTGTTCCTCCAGGTCCTGCCGAGCAGGAACAAGCGTCGCCCGAGTGCTTTCTTGAGTGAAACCATGTAGCGTTTCTTGAAATCTTCGAAAAAAGTACTCCCATCTGGGTGTAGCCCCCGAGCCTCTTGCTATTTGGAACAAGGAGCTGGAGGGTCTTGTCCTGAAATTGCTC